TCTCTATTTTTCACTTGTTTTCTCCAATTATTCATCAAATCGTGAGTTTTACCTATTAGAAAAAATATAATATGAATAAAAAACTATAAAATGTCATTATTTAAAGCCCCGAATAAATGTATAATCAATTGCCGTGGACAATGTCAGACAACCTGTCTCCCATTTCTCCCACCCAAAACAATGCATAAGTTACATATTCTGCTTTACACTCCAACATTGTGTAAGTGCTATGCCATGGGTCCACTCGATTTATGTTGTAAATACTTTTAATATGTTTTGATGCATTTATTTTTTGCAAGATTTATTATTTATTTAAATCAATATTCTAATAATGATATTAAATAATAGAATTAGTAGATTCAAATTTCAGTAGTTTGTTAATCACAAAGAGTTGCGATTGTGAGATACAAATTATTTGTATGATTAAATATTAAATAATCTATGGTCATAAGTAATAACGAGATGTGGATAGCGTTATTACGGTTAGACCATCACGTGTGACATTTTTTACTTGTTAATGAGGTAGCTGATCTTACAAGTTAAGGTGTGGTGACACTTAAATGAGCACGTTGATGTTTTGTAATAGAACAAAACATTAGAGATTTGCTAGGAGATTTCACATGGATAACTATCTGAGTGTCAATGATTAATCTCTAACGTTCGGTAGTGGAATTGGTTCTTTAACTTGAGGTCATCATAATACCTTGTGTAAGGGCAACCACATTTTAGTGATGTTAGATGTTGTTCTGCCAAGGGCAACTAATACGACATCATTCTAGTATGTCAACAATTGTATGAATGTTGTGAATGACCGATAGATGATTCGTTACTCTTAGATAGTAAAAGATTATGATCTATATATCATTCAATTAAGTTGATAACGATATTCTTAGCCAAGATGTACTCATAAGTCGAAAAGGAGTTTTTGACTTGAATTAACTTAATAGTGAAATGAAAGATATGATCAATAATTGAGATTGACACTTATCCATATCTCGTAGCGGATCGAATCATATTAACAAATGGATTATAGTTTTACGATAAACAAATAAGTTTGATTTTGTCATACTACATGACATTTTTCATCACATATATTGTCCCGACACATTGCTAATGTCAATATGGGACGACGGATGTAAATTAGTTATAAACTAAAAAGATGTTTTAATTTATCGATTTTGATTATATCAAAATAATAATACACGTCATTAGGCATCATGATTGAAAACCTGTTGTGTCTCACACAAAACGAGAATTAAAAGGTTATGTTTTATCAATTAATTAATTTAACAAGTATCGTATAAATTAATTAATTGGGTTAATTAATTCATGGATCGGGTTTAATTAAGTGCTTGTTTGTGCCCCATTATTTATGAGTAATATATTATGAAATAGTGATTGATGTTGAAATGTGTGGTCAAAAAAGAAGGAAATTTTTTTTATTTAAGTGTAATATTATTTTAATGATGTATGATTAAAAATGAGTATTGTAGAAAAAATAATGCGATAGAATGTGAAAAAATGATAGACAAACAAAGCCTAAATGTGTTAATTAAATATTGGATCAGGATAAGAGACAGGTCAAGTCCGTTTGGTCTTATTTAAATAAGCAACCAGGGTTTAGAATTTGTAGAAAATTTTCATTCTTACTAGCATAAGAACAAAAAACTTTGGTTCTCTTACAATCTTATTTTTTGTGTGAAATTTTATTGGAGGCTGAACAGCTGTGGGTGACAGATCAATATTATTGGAACAAAAGAAAAGTAAAGGAGTTTGGCAAAAAGTATAATTTCTATTACAATTTCTATCTGAACACAAACAAATCCTTTGTAAAAATTGAAATTTGATTAACTTCCGCTGTGCATGATTAAGTAAATTCTCACACATTGATGGTGAGCTGTTGCACACCTCACTTTCAAGAAACTCGTTGAACCGAGTTCTGTCTGAAGTGAAACAGGAGTAATGTCAAGTGTAAGATTATTGTTCACGAAGAAATTCTGTGCCATTGAAGTGCTGCCTGCAAAAGCAAAGTCCACTCTGTAAGGATTTTTAATTAAAGATGGGCTTATATGTGTGAATAATTGTGTGTTAAATTATAGGTTATCGAATTCGGTTGAGCCCAATTAAAGTGATCTAATAAGGCTTCGGTTTTGAGTTTTAATGTATCCAGTTAAAGTATAGGTTTACATATGTGTAGAGACCAGGCCCAAGTCCTAATTCTATGATGGGCCGAATTAGGTAAAATGGCATCCTTATATAAATAGGTTATGGTTCCCAGATCACACGCAATGAATTATTCATTCTCTACTGCATCCTATCACAGAGAGGAAAAGGAGACTGCGTGTAGATTTGGAAGATTATACCGCGAAATTCATATTGCATCAACCATGTCTGATTCAGGTACGCTTTCGCTTTAATTCTTATATTTCTTGATGATTTAACATGAAAGATTCAGTAATTTAAAGCACTAAATTATACAACAAGTGGTATCAGAGCCTCTTCATGTTGAATCATTGAGAATCAAAGGTTTTAGTTTGCTTCTTGCAATATATTTTGAAATTTTCAGATTTAACAATTTTTGGTTATATATATTTTTTGTTAAATTTGAAAATTTTTTGCAGTATAATTCTTTTTATTTTCGTTCGGATTGATTCAGTTTAGAAAATTCAGATTTTTGGGTTCAGATTTCTGTACGAAAACAAAAAAAATAAAAAAATAAAATAAAATAAAAATTTTTGAAGATCTGGCCAGCGATGGGAGACCCGCCGCTGGCCTCTGCAGGGGGCTACTGCAAAACGCAGCAGCATGCAGCAACGCCCTGTGGCGTCGGCGTGGGCCGGTGCCGGAGTGCGCCGCCACCGGGAAAGAAGGAGAAATTTTTTTGGGCGGGAGCTTTCTCTGTAAATTAGATAAGTTGAGGCCCCTAGTTGCAATTAGGGTTAGGGTTATAAAATTAAGGTTTCAGTCCCTAACCTTTAAGTTATATTGAAATTTGGGCCTTTAAGTCTCGAATTTAATAATTCAGTCCCTAAGGTTTTAAAATTAATTAATTCGGGCTATTAAAGTTCTGAATTTATAATTAAAGCCCTCAAAATTTAATTATTAATTCAAATTGGCCCCCTAAGTTCATAATTAATTCAAATTGACCCCTAAAGTTTCAAAATTTTAAAATTTGATCCTAAAGTTTTTAATTGGTCAATTTTGGTTTCGAATGATTACATCGTATTTCTTCGAGAACATGAAGTTGACATTGGAATGGTGGAAGATGATCTGATCAACTTCCGTCAAGCCATGGAAAGTTCTAACTCTCAA